GAAAATCGAAGGATATTCAGCGGCCGGAACAAATGAAATCGTCTGCAGTCAGAAAGATGATATCATCAAGGAGTACACACCCAACTCAACTTCGAAGCCATGCCGTTCAAATATCTACGAGTTCGTCGTCTGCCAATATGAATGAAGATAAGTTCCAAACTTCAAATATATCACGGATCAGTGCAGTTGAAGAACGTACAGCAGACCACCAGTTCACTGCGGAAGAAGTGAAAGAACATCATTATCCAGAACAATCTGTGGTCACACATCACTCGTCTCATCACTTTCCTCAAGCGACGCTCATGTGTGCTAATGTCAGAATCTTCAACCCATCCAACCCTTCAAAGGAGATTACAGTATCTGCCTTTTTGGACTCTGGATCGAGTAAGTCGTACATCACCAAGGATCTAGCAGCCTCTCTCGGACTACCAATTCACAACACGGAGGAAATTACGGTATCTACATTTGGCAACACTAGCCCACTACAACTTCAGTCTGAGGATCACAGAATTGGCATTCATACTCAGGAAGGGACAAAACATCTGGACGTCAAATCCGTTCCGTCACTCACAGGAAGACTTCAACACGTCTACTTATCGTCAGACTCTACTTCGGAATCGGTAACCATCTCTTCTTGTACACCCTCTATACTTATTGGGAACGATTACTTCTGGGATATTGTTCTTTCCGACAACTTCTACTCCAAAGTGCTGCCCAATGGATATCGCCTCCTACATACCACCATCGGGGACGTCATTATAGACAGGCAACTCGATATTAGGAGCGCACAGACTCACTCATCATATGCTCCAGAGAGGAATCTCACGAATCCAGGTAATCACGATGAACTTTCGGAGCTTGTGACAAATTTCTGGAAACTCGAAACAGTTGGCATACTCGATGATCCATCAAAACGCGATGATGACGAATGCCTAAACTTCTTTAATAACACCATATACTATGACAGATCAGAGGGAAGATACGTTGTGAAACTACCGTTCAGGAGCGATCCCTCATTGCTGCCTGATAACTTCTCACTGGCATTTTCTCGACACTCTTCTCAAATGAAGGTCTTCAAACGGAACCCCTCATACATGAAGAAGTATCACGATATCATAGAAGATCAGCTTCAGAAGCGCATAATCGAAAAAGTTCCAGAGAGCGAAGTTTCAAAACCTTCGCACTACCTGTCACATCACGGCGTCATCAAAAGAGACGGAAACGACATCAAGATCAGGTGTGTATACGACGGATCTGCCAAAATTAAGGGCTACCCTAGTTTGAACAATTGCTTATATCGTGGACCAGTTCTTCTGCCGGACTTAGCTGGTATACTACTTCGATGCAGGTTTTACAAAATCCTTATCTCAAGCGACATAGAAAAGGCCTTCCTAATGGTTGGACTGAATAAGGCCTCCCGCGACTACACTCGTTTTTTATGGTTGGATGACCCCACCAAAGCTCTCACTCGCGATAACGTGATCTGTTACAGATTCAGAAGAGTACCGTTCGGACTTGTGAGCTCTCCCTTTCTTCTCGCAGGCACCATCCACTACCATCTTACTACAACAGCCACGCCACTCGCGCAAAGGATTCTACGTAATACATATGTCGACAACGTCTTCTATGGAGTCCAAAATACCGAAGACGGCAAGTCCTTTTACAAGGAATCCAAAAGACTGCTTCAATCGGCAGGGATGAAACGCTCCACCATTAGTTTCGTTCATCATGTCGAAATCCAGACTGGCTCCTCTTAACCAATCCATCAGCATCCCACGTCTCGAATTAGCAGCCTTGATGATCGGAGCGAAACTCCTTACATTCATCGTTCAACAACTCGATGTTCAGTTCAGCCGCAAGTTCCTCTGGAGCGACAGCAGCGTGGCACTTGCGTGGACCCAATGCAGCAAAGACCTACCAGTCTTTGTCCGCAATCGCGTCAAAATTATCAACGACAACACATCAGGAGTACACCTAAGACACGTCCCAAGCGGTCTGAATCCAGCAGACATCGGAACCCGAGGTGCAACACCGGAAGAGTTATCGAAAATAGACCTTTGGTGGAATGGCCCAAGCTTTCTCAAAGAAGAAGACGAACTCTGGCCACCTTAGTGTCCAGAAATCTCCATTAATCCGTCACTCAAAGTCTGCAAAGAAAAACAACCTGATTTCAGTGACGAAAAACCTGCAGCTGCTGCATATCCAGTTAACACGTCATCAAGTCAGTCGCCAGATGAAACTCGAAAGTCCCTCGCAGTGAATGTCAATCGATTCAGCTCCTGGACCAGGCTAGTCAACACCATTTTCTACATACTACGCTTCTTCTGTATGAAGTCAGCAAAAGCGTCTCGGTACTTCGAAAACACTAGGGTGTCTCTACTATACAGATCGGAACTCATCCTACTTCGTTTCGCTCAGTTGCAGTTTCCACCAACAGATGAAGAGAAGAAGAACCTCAACATTTTCATGTGCGATTCAACTCTATCATGGAAATGCAAGGGACGTATCGACAACAGTGCATTATCAGAAGAAACAATTACACCAGTCTTCCTACCACGGCGAAGCCATATCACGAAACTTTTCGTTCTACGTCTCCATGAAACCCATAACCATTGCGGAATCAACCATAACCATAGCCTCACTGTCGCCAGACAATCTGTATGGATCCCCAAAGGTCGCGCAACCGTGAAAAGGATTCTTCATAACTACTGTTTCCACTGCAAGAGATACAACGCAAAACCTTTCTCACTCCCTCCCTTCCCTATCCATCCGGAAAGAAGAGTAAATCCTCCCTCATATCCTTTCCAAAACACTGGCATGGACTTCTTTGGACCATTGCAGTACAGGAACAAGGACAACACAGTCGCCAAATACTGGATGATCCTCCTAACGTGCCTCAACTATCGCGCAGTATACGTTGACGTCGTTGTAGACATGACTGCTAAAACGGTTCTACACGCCTTGCAATGCTTATGCGCAACAATCGGCTGTCCAACATGGATTTTATGCGACAATGCGCAGTCTTTTAAAACAATCGATCAGTGCTACTCATCTCTGCCAAATCAAGAAGTTGACACGGACGTCTTCGACTACTGCACCAACAAAAGGATTCAGATGAAATTCATCCCCAGTCTGAGTCTCTGGCAAGGAGGAGTTTACGAAAAAATGGTTGACATCTTCAAAAAGTCGTTTAAGCACGCAATTTCCAACAGACTCCTGGACATAGAGGACATCAAGACGATAGCCAAAGAAACCGAAGCTATCGTTAATACGCGACCTCTCACCTACTACACTGACGAGATCTCCTACCTTCCTCTAAGACCAATCGATTTCCTGAGGCCGCAAGCTCTACTCAGTGGACCTCGTCCATCACAACAGGACGACGAATGGTTGCCTTCCCACAGCACACACGACACTCTTCTCGCAGACTGGAACAGAACTTCGACACTGGTAACCACCTTCTGGAAACGCTGGACGCAAGAGTATTTAACAACATTACGCGAGCAGTATCGAAAGGAGCACAAAACACCCAGATCTCACGAAGACGAACCTCCTCAGCAGGGCGATTACGTGCTCATACACGATCCAGTACTTCAACGTGGACAATGGAAAATGGGAAAAATTGTAGGATCTCAAGACAACTTTAAAAGATCCGCAGAAGTTCAGCTTCCCAACAAGAAGGTCATTACGAGACCTCATAATCTTCTTTTCAAAATGGAAGTTTCTCGAGACCCCACACCAGTCACCACTTCCGAACCAGACTCAGCAAGAAGAAACTCACTGCATCCAATGATCACGAGATCAAAGACACGACTCCTGAATAATGCCTTTCTTCTTTGCTGCATGATCGTGATGACATCATATCCTGTTCACTCAATACGCTGTTGCCCGGAAGAAATCAACACCAACAGGACAATCCTTCTCACTACGGAATGCACTGAGAAGGGAATCGCAGTAGCACGATATAACAAGAACGGCAAAGATGCTTTCTGCTGGTTTCCAGTCGCGTGCCTCTTCGGAGATATACGATTTCATAGCTCTAACAAAAGTTCAATACTGTGTGGAGAAAAATGCAAATGCCCAGAGTGGACGACCTCGTGTTCCTTTTCTAGCAGCTCTAGAACAGCCTCTTCAGAAATAGAATCAATACCACCCATGATACGAAACTACAAACCCGCTCACGTGTGTTCATTCAACTTCACCCCTTCGTGCGACTCGCTGAAGAAAATAGGAGTGTTCAATCAAATACAGCTTTTCGACAACAGTCTACTACTAGTAGAGGAGCTCACCATCACCATCAAAGACTACGTCGACGAAAACGATTTCGTATGCATCGATCGGAAAGGTTGGAAAAGAAGAATGGCAAGGCGTTCGACAGGCACGTCTGCTTTCTGCAAGAAGCACGCTTGCCGACCCAATGCGCAGGTGTTTTGTATGTATGACAACGCTCTCGCGTTATTAGTCATAAATGACACCATGCCAAGAAACGTCATACCCGTGAAAGCGTGGGGAACAATCACCAAAACATATTACGGATTTCCGAAAATTCCCAAAGCTGCTCTTCCATCGAACTCAAAAAAAGAAGCGTTTCCGGATTACGAGAAAGTGCAGAATCGACCACAAATTCAAATACGGCACCGATTTCGACACAATGCATTAAAGGAGGGATTCTCGTAAACAGCAGTTTCCACAATGATATAACCGAGATATGCATTGGACAATATTGCACTTTCCTCCAGAAGATCACTTCCCAGGAAGTAATATTCCCGAACTCCCTCATATCGTACAACTACGACGTCTCTGTCAGAACATGGAACAAGGGGAAAATCACCGAGGAAGTCGTAATCTCCTGCAAAGCGCACCCAATATGTGAAACGTTAGATTGTTTCCTCTGCTGGGAACACCTATACAACACACAGTGCTGGACCATTCTTCAGATAATCAGTGCAGCACTTCTCGTCTTCTTCGCTTTTCTTCTCCTTCCGTCACTCCACTTCCTCATGAAAGCCACAGTGCCACTCATCAGGCTCCTAATGTTCATCACCTCAAAAATCAATCCTCTGAGATTTCTTCGCAGATCGCCTCGGATACAACGAAGCCCGCTTCGCGCCTACATCAGTCGTAGAAGACGCAACCACAGTCGCAGATATCTCGCAAGTCTCATGGCGATCTTACTCAGTCTTCAGTCCGCTGAAGGGTGCTCGGAAGTTTCAACACTTACGGCTCATGAAACGGTATGCCTCACCACTGAAGACACAGAAACCTGTACATTCAACGAAGCTACCCTCATCACCTTACAACCGCTCCAACAGGAAAGCTGCTTAACGTTGAGGGATAAACTTAACAATCCTATTGGAATCATCTCCATCAAAGTGAATGGAATTGACTTCCAATGTCAGAAGAACGTAGAATTATTCACCCGCGACCACAAGCTGCTCTCGGAGTCAGTTCATCGCTGTTACCATGCCGGCAGCTGTATCCCAAATGCCTGTGATAGCACAACGCCATCGGACAAAATCAAAGAATTCTCAGACACTGCGAACAATAGTCCAGGATATTCTTTCTGCTCTAGGAGCTGTGGATGCCTTTTTTGCGATGGATGCTTTTTCTGCACTCCAAGCTGTTTGTTCCATCGACTTTACGCGGTACCAACGAGCCATACTATCTACACTGTCTTTACGTGCCCAAGCTGGGAAATCGTCATTAACGTCGACATTGTACTACAACAACAAGGTTCAACATCAAGTGCCACGCTGGAACTCCAACCAGGACGCACAGCATCGTGGAACAACATCCGCCTCAGTCTCATCGGTAACATCGTCCCTCAATTACCGATACTGTCATCAACCTTCATGGAAACAGGAACTGACATTTCAATAGTGAAACCAGTTCATAGAGAGAAACTCGAACCTCACAGTGCAGGGCAACTACAATGTCCCACGAGAAGAGCAGCCGAGGAATTTGGATGTATCTTTCCTAGCACCTCATGCACATGCAAAAAAGGCCTCCAGAAAGTATCCTGCGCATGTAGCCCAGGAGATATGGAAGCCCTCATGCGAGCATGTCCTCTACCCCAGTCGTCGAAAATTTTCGATTTACTACGTCACAACGCCATACTAGCAAAGACCAATGCGGAAGCGCCATCCAACTCCATCTCGGTAGCGGAAGATCTGAAAATTACCTCTCGTCAGTCGAACAGTTCCTGCCGAAGTTGAAACGGGTGACATTGCCAGGTTGCTACAACTGCTTAGCCGGCGCCGACTCACACTGTCATGTCGCAGCTCTCATGAGGAAGTGACCGCCAGCCTTATTTGCCCGACACAGACGCAAATCGCAAAATGCACAAGAAACGGGCACTTGAATCAAATAAAGCTTCACTTCACTACTTCGACCATATCACAGAATGCATCGTTTCCTGCCTGCGAGGGACGACAACTATAACGTCAGAGGATCGCTCCAGTTCGTCACCGACGGTCTAATCAAGGGCGACGGTAACTTGTTGTCAAGGAACCGACCACCGATACATCCTTTTTAGATTCTGTCTTAGGCACTATTGGTGAAACATTTTCTGGATTGATTCCCGATTTTTCTTTGAGTGCTGGCATTGTTAAAATTTGTTACACACCGTCTTCTGGGATTGGTACTGCTTATCCTCTGCAATCTATAGAACCATTTCTACTCTTTGTTCGAAAATCTCTCTCACTAAAAAGAGCCACTGACAAGTTCTTGCCCTGGGCGTTTTCTTGTAATCCTACAGAATTTCTGCTGAAGAATTATCATATGCTCGGAATTCTTCTTGGTTCAATCACCTTTTAATATATGACCTTTAGCTCTCTACTGACTGAATCACCTTTCACTTATGTTTTGCCTTTCACATATATTTTGCCATGAAGCATGTTTTGCCTTTCACATATATTTTGCCATGAAGCATGTTTTGCCTTTCACATATATTTTGCCGTGAAGCCTCTTAATGAGATTTCTACATGCTATATAAGCAGCCTAGAATAATGAATAAACGGTTTTCGAGCCAAACGTATCTCCCCTCAAGAAACGCATCCACTCCAATTCCGAAGTCTACTTTCCAGCCAAAGGCTGGCAACTAGCGTGAAATTGCCTCACTTTGCCTCACTGCCTCATATGGCTTTATAGGGCTCACTACAAAGAATCAACCGATTGAATTCGTTCTTAAATGCGGTCTTTCAACCTTTTACCCGTCCAGTTCTTTGAGGCTGGACAGGTCCTCTTAAAGCCGCTTGCAACATTCCCTTTGGCATTTTTGTAATAGACGGGTCACTTCGCCTTAGACCTCGGAACACTACCCAGGGCCCTTATCGCGGACGTTTTGAGTGACTCTCTGTGAAGGAAAAAAATTGGGAGCACCCTAAATGAACAGCCCTTGTTGGCAGTCATGCAGTTTCCTTGAACGAAACCTTGGTACCTGGTGGCAGATGAACACCCTGGTGCAACACCTGCCTCAAAAATCGTCAATTGACATCTGACACTGAATGTCATTTTCATCAGGAAAAAAACAATGAAAAACATCAGAGCAGAACAAGTGACAGAAAATTGGATGAACATGAAATTGGATTATGGGGGTAAACTGCACAACGAGCTTTCAGTCAGCGTTCACAGCCGTCGCGCTGTACAGCGCTCTAATGCGCCTGACAGCGCTGCTAACAGTTACAAGCGCACTTTCTTTCCTTTAGTATTTACCCTTTTTTTCTCACTTATACTCCATTTCACACTCTTTATTCTATTAGGTTGTCCCAAATGTTCATGAAACTTCCGAACTTTTCTTAGAGCCAAGTTTATTCCATTGAGAATCAACTCTGATTTACAACATTTATTATACATTATCTTCATCGGCAACTTCTTGCCAACTACCAAGAAAAGAGTGACGCCTTGCTTCCAGAAGCTTCTGAGTTCAGTGTCGAGAAAGGCATCCGAGGCATCCTTTTGAAAATCGAATTTTCCACCCAAAAAGTGGCCGCTGGGGAGGGGGGCGTAGTTTAGACGGCAACGTGTGGTGAAGTAGGCAAACACTGCTGGATTGGGATCAAATGATCATTTTCATTATCCATCCGTAGTTGATTACAGGACTGGCTGCTTACCATATCATTGAGAGGAACAAACTCCCTGTCGTAAACCCTATAAACGGTTCACCACAGGCACTGTACCACCTTCCTAATGTATTTATAGGATTGCACGATCAATTTTGCCCTTTCTGGAGGATCTAGCCATTGGCGCTCTTTAGAGTGGCTCACATAGGGGGACAAAAAAGAGACTTCGACCGAGTTACATATCAGTGAAATTTTCGCAACCCACAAAGAGGACGTGGATACGGGTACCAGGGCGAAAGATACTCAAGATGCTCCTATATAAGCAGGAGCTGGTGCTCGCCCATAACCTTCATCTACACCAAAATATGGAGTCATTTGCAGCCGCAGCCTAACTGGAGAAGACCTTTGAAATTCATGTCACCTCTAAACTGCGAAACTTCTAGTGCGGAGCCACCCATTGGTAGCTACCTGGAATCCAGTACTCTCGATCTGGATGACCTTCAACATCGAGTAGCTCCGACAACCTCGCTAGGGGTCGAGGACATCATCTTCATTGCAGTCGCCAAGGCGCGGGTTGAAGGTAAGGACCGGACGTACCTGGAGTGGAAAGACTGATATTTTCTGCGTGGACCCCGGACTGAAGGTGAGCGCTGGCGGTTACATCGAGCAACTCGAGAATAATATCCTCCCCACATGCCGTCGCCTGTACCTTCTTGGAAACTTTGTACTGCTACAGGATTGGGTGACACCACATGAAATTGAAGGGCAGTGGAAAAACTCTCGCCTACCTGGAATGGAAGGACGTTGAGTTCCTGAAGAAGATGGAATACCTGAACGGGTCACCTGGCCTAAACCCCACCAATTACCTGGTTTGCGTGGAGTTCAACAGGGTGGTCTACAGTGGCGGAGAATCAAGAACAACAATCACGCTGAACTCGCATCGAACCATGGTTGCGTGGCAGAATCTCTTGTTGGCGGTGCTCCAGAAGGTTGTAGCGGAGTTTCATGATAGTATTTAATATGCTCTTCAATTTAGTAGTAAAAAGGTCCCAATCCCATTTTAATAAAGTGTAAGTTACTAGTCGGCTGTTTGAGAAGAAGGCGCGCCTCCTTCTCATACAGCCCGGCTGTGCCGGGCGCACCCTCTTTCACATATTTCTAGACTCAACTGATATCAGGCTCTTGTGCCGTACTCATGGTTAAAGGTTCTCGACAAATTCATCATCCCTGCTATTTCGACTATTACTGAGCAAGGAGTGGTACCAAAGGGCGTCGATTATGGGCACAGGCGAGGGAATAGCTGGGGAAGAAACGTGTGTAGTAAAGCCGTGCCTGTCCGGCCAACTTGGGCCGTATCACAGGAGGAGGAGCGCTGGCATAAGCCGCCGAGCCGACTGGATACCTATGACGACCGGTGTTAAGAGTATGGCAGAATACGCACTAAAACTCAGTAAGAATAAGTACGTCGTGCGGTCCGCCAACTGGGTGCGGGTCACAACACAGCACAGAAACACTTGCCATATATCCATGAGGTCCTGCAAATCTCTGCTTAAATTGCTGAACCGCTCTCAAACCGTTTTGCAGATTTTTTTGTCTGGCTCCGCCCACCTCGGGCTGGCCCCGTCCACAACATTTATGCCCCACATTTCTCAATGGGCGACGAACTCAATTCGTTCCTGTCTTTGAAGTGTTCTGAAACTATTTAACAGATTTTTCGTCTGACTCCGCCCACCTGCAGGCTTCGCCCACAATGTTTGCGTCCCACAATCCTTACCGGCGACCCTCTGCTGACCACTTTTTTCCGGTGTCTGGAGTGTTCTGGAACTATTTTGCAGATCTTTTGTCTGACTCCGCCCACCACCGAGGGCCACCGAGGGCTTAGGCCGTTTGAGCGATTGTGGAGCACAAAACATTGTGAAGCAGGCGCCCGCTCACAATGTTTGTGCTTCACAATCCTCAATCGGCTAGCCCTCGCTGACCTCGATCTTCTTTTTTCCCGGTTTCTAGAGTGTTCTGGAACTGAGCTACAAAATTTAAAATGAGTATCCTGCGATTAAGGGTAAGCTCCGCCCACTGTGGCGGGTCTTAACACACTTTGAGCATTGCCCAACACTCGCAGATATTTCCTAATCTGCATAAATTTTTCACGACTTCTAAACACTCTTGCGAGCCGGGTAACTGAGTTTTGTGGGAAGCGCCACCCCACCTTGAGTACGCCCCGCCCATTTTGGATGTGTCTCCCACGTTAGCCTGGCAACTCCTTGCTAACCTCGTTCCACTTTTTCCCCATCCTTTGAGCTGCTCCGGAAGCGAATTATGAACATTTCTGTGTGGAACGACAAACTTTCGGCGAGTGCCCCGCCAGATGTGGGGCTTCGCATAGATCATGTTATATCCTGATTTTTATATCTTGTCCCATGCCCTACCCATCCCAACCCTGACCCGACCGCTCCAGGTTTATTCAGGTCGAACCCAATTTCCGGACAGACAAACTTACAACAAACAATAAACAGACGAAGCGAATTAGATATATATATATATTATATATATATATATATATATATATATATATATATATATATATATTATATATATATTATATATTATATATTATATCTATATATATATATATATATATATATATATATATATACGTAATATATTATAGGTTGGAAAGAAAAGTCCTGTCAGTGTTTTTTAGATAGCCTACAGTTTTTGATCTTCGAAGCTCGAACATGACGTAACATGCTAAGGTTTTAAGAACATTCTCGAAGCTTTTCCACAAGAATTATATCAAGGCTCCTGCTCTTCCCTGTGTTTACTTATAGATGTCAGTTTCACTGGAGCAGCTCGAGTGATCATCTTCTATGAGTGGCGCCGCGGCACTGGCCGACGGCAGCCGGCCCGTGACATCAAACTGTGCTTTGGGGAGGCCACTTACCACCGTCAGGACTGTCCACCGTTGGTTCGGTTCGCTTCGCCGACAAGGACAAGAACCGGTCTCCGAAGACAAACCTACGTCTGGGACGCCCTCGCGGCCGTAGAAATTCCGCCGTTCTCGAACCTGTCAGAGAGGATCCAGAGGCTACACGCGCAGTATTGCGACAAGACTAGGGTGCAGCCATACAACAGCTCTAAGCCGCCTTCAGGCCCTT